CCCTTCCTTAGAGCCCCCCCCTTCTCAAAGGCCCCCTCGCTTCTTCCCAAAGGCGTTTAAAGGGATCTTTTAAATGCTTCCGAGAAGAAGCGGGCGGGGGTGGCATGCACCCCTCTCCCTCCCCTCCCGCAAGATTTAAAGGGCCCTCCAGCTGATTGGCGGGCCACGTGCTCCCCACTGATCAGCTGAAGGGCCCTTTAAATCTTGCAGGAGAGGAGGAAGAAGAGGAGGAGGAGGAGGAGGAGATTGGATTTATACCCCGCCCTTCACTACCCAAAGGAGTCTCCGAGCGGTTTACAAACTCCTTTCCCTTCCCCTCCCCACAACAGACACCCTGTGAGGTGGGTGGGGCTGGGAGAGCTCTTGACAGAAATGGCTCTTTTTCAAGAACAGCTCTGACAGAGCTATGGCTTGCCCAAGGTCATCCAGTAGGTGCAAGTGGAGGAGTGAGGAATCAAACCCGGTTCTCCCAGATTAGAGTCCGCGCACTTAACCACTACACCAAACTGGCATGCCACCCCCCTTCTTTATGGCAAATAATAGCAGCCCCACCAGAAAACACTTTGCCCCACAAGCCACGAGATCCTGGCAATGGGCCTGAGTCCATTAGACTTCACTGACACCATACCCGAAAGCTGACGCCAGCGGCCATTGTTTTCCTTCTTTGAACTGTGCAAGAGCAATTGCTACCCCAAGCCCAGCCACGCAGACTTCTTGCTGTAAACCGAGAACACAAAACACGCAAAAGGGGAACGGTTTCAAAGAAGAAACAGCAATGGCTTCTCTGAAACCAGTCCCTCCGTCTCCTGTACATATTCTTGTTTCAGTCTGAAGGTTCACATGCAGGGCATTCTCCCCGGGTGCTTGTCCATGGCTGCGCATGGCGTTCATCAGAGGTAGCCAACCCTCCAAACAGCCCCCTTGTGGGAAGCTCTGCTGGCCCCTTCCCGCCTCTTCTTTTGGAGAAAGGTAACAACCACCTCCCACCCCAGTCTCCCTTCCCAATGAGATTTGCATTGGAACAGGGACCGATACTTGTAATTGAATTTTATCCATCTTATTTATGTTGTTTGTTTTATGGTCATGCGTGTGCTTTTATTAGCCCTGACCTGGGACAGTCCAGGCTAGCCCGATCTCATCAGACTCAGGAGCTAAGCAGGGCCAGCTGGTCTCATTAGTATTTTGGATGGGAGACCACCAAGGAAGTCCAGGGCTGCCCCGCAGAGGCAGGCGATGTTAAACCACCCCTGAACACCTCTTGCCTTGAGCTGGATGGCCCAGGCTAGCCCGGTCTTGTCAGATCTTGGGGGTCAGCCCTGGTGAGCACTTGTATGGAAGAGCACCAAAGAAGCTGAGGGTCACGACGCAGAGGCAGGCAATGGCAAACCACCTCTGCCCGTCTCTTGCCTTGAAAACCCCTGTGAGCGGTTGCTGTAAGTCAGCCGAAACCTAACGGCACTTTTCATCACCGTGTATTTTTATTATTAAGAGCGTTCTGTGCGCGGGTAAACTTTTTAAATCAATACATATGACTAAATAGAATGGAACCTATTCAAAAAAGATTAAAATCCCCAGTGACCAGCTGTTTGGCAGGGAAGGAAAATGAAGAACCAGTTACTTTCCTCTGTACACACAAAAGACCTGGATAATTTTAGCCTGTTTGAAGAGACTCTGGCTGTTAGTTCAGAGAAGGATCTATTTATAAGGCCAGTTTCCACCTGCTTAATGGCCCAGGTAGCCCACAATCTTACTGTTAATATCATTAACTGAGGTGACAAGGGACATCATCCTGGAACGCTCCCCGGGAAGTTACTCTCATTGAACTCAGTGGAACCAGCCCCATTTGCAGGATCAGGCTGCCACAGGGAAGTTAACATACTGAGAAAATAGAATTATTTGAAGGGGAATGTTAAGAACATAAGAAGAGCCCTGCTGGATCAGACCAGTGGTCCATCTAGTCCAGCACCCTGTCTCACACAGTGGCCAACCAGTTCCTCTGGAGAGCCAACAACAGAGAGGCTGAGGCCTTCCCCTGGTAAGAACATAAGAAGAACCCATTTGGATCAGACCAATGGTCCATCTAGTCCAGCATCCTGTCTCACACAGTGGCCATCAGTTCCTCTGGAGGGCCAACAACAGGGCACAGAGGCCAAGACCTTCCCCCAATGTTGCCGCCTTGCTCTGGGATTCAGAGGATTAGTGCCTCTGAATATGGAGGTTCCCCTCAGCCACCACGGCTAGTAGCTATTGATAGACTTATCCTCCATGAATCTATCTAATCCCTTTTTAAGGCTGTTTATTTCTGTGGCCATCACTACATCCTCTGGCAGCCAATTCCACATTTTAATCACTCTCTGTTCTTTGCTTAAGGACTTACCAGACTTCTGTAAAACACAAGGCGGGCCTCCGTCATTTTCCACCGCAGCAATACGAGTCAGTAAATACACCCGGCATTAGCAAATGCTGGGACCATTTTATCTAATGCAACGATCGATCGCAAGGCATAAAATCCCCTGAGGCCAAACCATAGATGTTGCCCTCCAGAAAGCATGCCGCACTGCCACAAGACACGTTTTTAAAGTCTGGGGCGCTGCCCACAGTGCAATTCTAGGCAGAGCCATGCCGGTCTAAGGCCATTTACATCAATGGGCTTAGAGCAGGATAAATCCACACAGGAGGATATTGTTGCTATGCCGGTTTTGAGTCCGAATCTCTTTCCACACCCCCAGTGGGATCAATTCCGTGAAATTCAAGGTCCCGTGGGGGTCACGCTGTCCTTACTGTCTGTATTATACTGTGTTTTCCATGCAGTTCTCTCATTCTCTGCGTAGTATATATTATTTATTTACTTCTTTTATAACCCACCTTCCTCCACTGAGACTTAAGGCACATCACACAGCATAAAACAATGCAATCAAATAGCGCGAGGCATTTAATCAGCAATGCAACAGGAGCAGGATTACAAAATTAGGAACCATGCAAAATGCATCACGCTCTTACTCTATAGGGGTTTTTTTTAGTGGTGGTCTGCCTTGAGTCTCAGCCAGAAAGGAAGACTGCGAGCAAAACAAACAACATAAAAATAAAACATATACAAATATATGGGGGGGGGGGTTTTGCTGTTAAGTCACCGCTGATTTATTGGCGAGGGTTTCCAAGGCAAGAGACGTTCAGAGGTGGGTTTGCCATTGCCTGCCTCTGCCTCACGACCCTGGACTTCCTTGGTGGTCTCCCATCCAATTACTAGCCAGGGCTGACCCTGCTTAGTCTCAAAGATCTGACAAGATCGGGCCAGCTACCCAACAAAATCACAAAACTGCACTAGGACAATACGGGATTTAAAAAAAAAACCCACAACCCACTGTCATCTGCCCTGAATCTCAGCGAGAAAAGCAAATGACAAATGAGGTAAAGAAATAATGGCCCCCTACCGCAAGGGCTGCGGTGGCTCAAGTGGTTAAGACGCCGAGCTGCAGACCAGAAGGTCAGTAGTTCAGCAGTTTGAGACCTGAGTGCCGCATGACCGAGTGAGCTCCCGTCTCTGGTCCCAGCTCCTGCCAACCTAGCAGTTCGAAAGCAAGAAATGGCAAGTAGATGAATAGGTACCACTTCGGTGGGTACCTATTTATTCAGCGTTCCGTGCACCTCGGCGTCTAGTCATGCCAGCCATGTGACCGTGGAAATGTCTTTGGACAGCGCTGACTCTTTGGCTTGGAAATGGAGATGAGCACCGCATCCCTAGATTCGGATTCGACTAGCTTTCGAGAAAGGGAAACCTTTACCTTTACAGCAAGTCAGAACTGCAGTAACACAAGGAGTTGTGAGCTGGGAAAACCCTCCCACCACCTTTCTGTTGTGTATATAAACCAGCACAATGGATTTCTACTCCCCCTTGTATTTAACGAGGGGACCTCTGAGTCTGCCAAGTTTCTGCCAGGATAAGGTTTGTTAGTCTTTCAGGAGGAGCCACTGGGCATATCCTGGTCTAGTTGCAATATCTTCTCACCTGACAGAGCTGCTGAAAAGAAAAAGAAACTCCCCAGGACCTGAGCAGTTTTTAGATAACAGCCGTTGACACATGAGCACACACAAAGCTGCCTTTATGCTGAAATCAAACCATCGGTCCGTCAAGGTGAGTATCGGCCACTGAGACTGGCAACATCTCTCCCGGGTCTCAGGCGGAGGACTTCCACATCATCTACCGCCTGGGTTTTTTTAAAGTGGAGATGGCAAAGATCGAACCCGGGAAGCGATGCGTGCAGAGCTGAGGCTCTTCAATGGAGCCACAGCCATGCCCCACAGACCTCTCATTCTTTTTCGAAAATGGAATTTTCTCTCTGTAGACCCTTTACCTCACACAGGGGCCCCCTGTCAATTCTGCCGTTGCTACACAGGAAGACACCTTCAGCTGAGGCAGACCCCTGGGGTCCATCCAGGTCAGCATTGCCTACTCAGGCAGGCAGCCGCTCTCCAGGGTCTTTCCCCATCACCTCCTGCCCCATCCTTTTTAAACTGGAGATGCCGGGGACTGCACCTGGGAACCTTCCGCCTGCCGAGCCGATGCTCTGCCACTGAGCCTCAGAGAGAGCGCTCCAGCAAGAAAGTTTGGGAAGGCCCCGCCTGCCTCTGAGCATCTGCAGAGCGGGATTCTGAAATGACCTTCGGGTTTCCCTTGGGATCAAAGGCAGAACTGATTCCAAACAGGCTCCAAACTCCAAATAAAAGCAAGAGCAAGAGCAAAAGAAAGGGGATGGTGGGTTTCAGGGAATGAAAGGCGAGGTGAAGAGGAATTTCAGAGCGCTTCTCTTAAGAAAGCCAGACTTGAGCATCTTCAGCTCTGGCCGCCATCCCGACACCGGACCATCCTCCCTCCCCTCCCTCCCGGTCCCTCCCCGCCGCCTCCCCTGCGGGCAGCAGCACTATCCTCGCTCCCGGTCCCTCGCGAGCGCCCTTCCTCTCCCGCTCCCTCCCCGCCGCCTCCTCCGCCGCCGCCTCCTCACCTGCAGCAGCGCGGCCAGCAGGACGCAGAGCCAGACCTGGAAGGGCCCCATCTGGCCCACCAAGGGGAACGCCTCTTCCACCTCCATGGCGGGGCCGAGGGGGCGACGGCGGCTCCAGGAGCATCCCGCTCTCCCGGCAACGGCACCTGACAGGAGCTCGCGCTACGTCGCCGCTCGGAGGACGACCCCGCACCGCGCATGCCTGAGACGGAGGGAGGCGGCGCGTGCGCGTTGAGGGCCGACGAACCCGGAGGCAAACCGCGGGAGCGAGGGAATGGAAAGGGGCGGGTGGCGCGTGCGCAGTGAAGGAGGAGCTGAGGACCGCGTGCGTGGATGCTGGTGCACGGTGGGTGGGTGGGTGCGGCCCCCCCGGGGGGGGGGGGGGTCCTTCTCTGCGCCGATGTGCGCCCCTTCCCCCGCCAAGTGAGGCTGAGGTGGTGCTGGATCTATCTTGGGTAGAGCTAGCCATGCAATTTGAGCTGCACATCCAGAGACGAAGCTTGATCACGGATCTCATCGATGTGTTCCAGGCGTGCCAACTCTGGCTTTCGAAATTCCTGGAGATTCGGGGCTGGTGCCTGGGGAGGGCAGAGTCTAGGCATGGGGGGGGG